GAGTGGGGGATGGTCACATTTTCCAACGAGCTGCACCCTCGGAAGGCCTTCTCCCCAATCTGGGTCACTGAATCAGGGATGGTCACACTTGCCAACGAGCTGCAATCTGCGAAGGCACAATCCCCTATCTGTGTCACTGAATCAGGGATGGTTACACGTTGCAACGAGCTGCATCCTGAAAAAGCCGCATCCCCAATCTGGGTCACTGAGTGGGGGATTGCCAGACTTGCCAAGTTTTTGCAGAATAGGAATGCTCGTGGAACAACTTCAGTTGCACCTCTTGGTAATTGAACTGCAAATAGAGTCTCATGGCGAAACTGGGCAAACTCGAGTCTGTGGTTGCATGTCACAGTGTTTTGTCTCAAAACTACAGTCACCTCTGATTCTGGAGTAAGGCCTGCCTCTGCAGCTGTCTCGTCATTCGTCATCAATCTGTTCTCCCCCACCACAATGTCCACCCTGGTTGTTTTACGTGTGAGTGCGTCGTCCCCAGGCTGGCGCTCCTTGATTCTCTCCTTAAGTTTGCGGCCGGTGATGCCTGGCAAGATGTCAAGAACCATCGCTTCACCATTCAACTGCCGAAATGAAACCCTCATGGCCATGGCTGCTCAAATCTGATCTTGCATATTGTTGAAGGCCAGGTCTCTTTTTGGGGCGTGGGCTTTGCAAAGCAAGGCCATTGTGCGATGACCATGCTGCCAAACTTTGGAGTACCACACAAATATTTTCATCTAAGAACTACTGACATTTTGCAGCTGGTGTAGCGCTAGCCAGTGCTTGCCGTCAATAGCAAAGGCAATCCAATGGGGATCCAACTTAACTCGAAACCGTGCAGTTCAAAACGGCACAGCTAGCATGACACACCTGCTGCTTGAGCATGCACACACACACAAATGCATTGCTGGCTGGAGTTCATTCGATCGAAATGTTTTTACACCATAATATCTTGATTTATATGTCCCTCCCCATGTGAAAGAGGATATGTTCAATCCATGTCTACATCAATGCGTCTAACAATGGAATCGTTCATTCGCATCCACGGTCCCCGGCTGTTTTCCGAAATCACACCCCATGGTCCCGCCGCCTGTACCATCCCGTCTGCGCGCAATCGCTCTCTCTGCGCGTTCGCTCTCTTCGCGCCCCCCCCCACCTCGGCCTTTAAGCCTTCCAGCTCTCCGCGAAGGGACTTGATCTCAAGTTCCAGTTGCTGTTTCAGGTCCCTCACCTCGGCAGCCTCCCGCACCCGCTTCCTGCAGCGGTTCGGACGGACGGAGAGTCGGAGAGCCGGTTGGGGCCGGTTGGGAAGACCTCGCCTGAACACGTTCGCAGATCACACCCGAACTCGACGAGGTGGTGGAGACCAATGTGGTACCACTTCCCATCTTTCCCCCAAAGATCGGATGACCACCTTCGGGAAGAACCAGACTGGCAAGGTGGCCGAAAAGTGTCCCAGACTTGGGACAAGCTCCGGAGCTCATCATCCAATGATCAAATCAGAATTCCAAGGTCAACGGAAAATAACATGTTTCTTCTTGCTTCGTCTTCCGTTTTCTGAACAACACATGAATCAACTAATCATCTACCCTAAGAATGAGGGCCCTCAAACACACAGGGTTTTGAGGGCCCAAACCCCTGCCATGCAAAGTCCGACCCCTGCCATGGAGAGCCCAAAGATTGTTAGGGTATATTATACGTATTATATCTATGAAAGGAAGCCGAAATGGGCCATTCCGGGAACCCCCCGACCTTTCCCGCCCCGAGCGGCGCGAAGTCGCCCTCGGCCAGCCCCGGCTCTGTGGGACGCTCGGCGGCGGGAGGCGGAGCGGCCTGGCGCACGCAGCGCACGACCGGCCGACGAACGACGACGAATTGGTGAAGGCGGTTCTGGTGAAACGACCTGAACACAGAGGTATCTATAGACAGTAAATAGCCTCTTAGTGATTAAGAGGTGTCCAGAAAATATGTGTTGGAAGGTGCTGGAACATGTTTGCCTGACAGATTCCTTCTAGAAGCTGAACCCTTGAACAGCAGTAGGGTGCTACCAAATTGCTCGGGCACTACCGGTCATTAGCTTTTTGCTTCGAGTTCGGAACTTCTGGCTCCGAATGGAGAAGATGGATACCCCCCAGCTCGGAATTGCGCCCTCCTGAGCAAGCTCGCTAGTACACCCCTTGGAATAAACGGACATGGATGGCATATGGCTCCTACTTGGATGAACAGGTTCAGGAGTTTTTGGGTGTCCTTTCCTTGAATTCCAGATAAGGACTTGTATGATTGCAGTATGTGGTCAGTGAATTGGCTGAGTGTCAATGTGAGAATTTCTAGACGTGCTTCTGGGGCAAATCCCCTTCCACCAACCCACACGGCAAACTCTTTTGCCGACCCCATGAGGGGGGAGATATGAGGAGATAGGCTGACATGTCGAAGGACTGCCCGCGCCCGCCTGCGTCTGGCTTTCAGCAATGTGCCTACCAATCTTGCGGGCTGAAAACTGATGTTCCACATTGCACCGTATACGTTCACTTGCACCCACTGCCGGCAGCTCTCCCGCCCTAAACAATCACAACAAAAAAAAACAATAATGATACAGTAAACAATGTATTTCTGTATGATGCAAATCAAATCATCACGCCGTGGCTCGCCTCTCGTGGCTCGCCTTTGCAGCCTCCACTTCCTGACGTCTGGGTCCGGGCATCAGAAAAACTCGTATAGCTAGAAGCTACGACCGCAACAAGGACGCGTTGGTAGGTGGAGGCCAGCAGAAGACGAACATAACAAGAAGCTACTACTCGACTACTCGATCGCTAGAAGCTACTACGTATAGTAGCTAGAAGCTTCCTTGGGAATCGTTTCACTGGGAATCGTTTCACCTGTAGTAAAAAGGGAAGCTACTAGCTAACATAATACACAACTGACCCGAAAAAAAGGTTCACCTCAGTCACTTAGATTAGCTCCTTCGCTTCGTTCGCCTTTTTCGTGCTAAGCCACCATCGGGTGCTCTTCCCGTCCCAACTGCCCAGTCGCCGGAGGTCCCGGCGGTTTCTTGGCGCCTGCTTGGTTCGTTTCAGTTCCTCCTCTTGTTCCTCCAGGCGCCTCTTGAGTTCGGCAATCTCCTGACCGCGCGCGTGTTTCGGTGCAGGGCGGGGCTGGGCAGCTAGAAGAGTGACATCGATTTGAAGACACATTGTGACGGCTGGTCACGGCGATGCCTGGTTCCTAAGAAGTCCTCAAGACTATGCCAACCTACGGACAAAATGATTTTATCTTCTCCAAACTGACCCGCTTGGTGAGTGATCAGGAGCCTATTATATCTTTCGAATTTGGGCACAAACATGCACAAACGGGTTTGTCTTCTAAGGAGTTCATGGGCAAAATACGATAAATACTTGGCCCATCTTGGCCCAAACATGCCCAACACTAGATAAAAGCAAGTTCGGCCCAAACCTGTTCCTAGTGCCTTAGGATAGTCACGCAGCGCGCAACGTCGCACTCGTGGGCCTTCTTCGCTTCTTCATCGTTGGATGCATTGGATGCCAGAAGTTTCTGATTCACGACCTGGCACATGTGACAGGGGAGACCATCTCCACCTCCAAAAAATGGCTCATGTAACATACTTTAGTTCAGCATTAAAACAAAAGACATCAGAAACGGACAATGAAACCACATTGAACAAAAAATCAAGAATACATTTTCCGGCTCCAAGCTGCCATGAGGTCGCGATCCTTCGCCGCCAGCTGCTCCTTCAATTCAGTCAGCTCTTCTTGGCTGGCTTGGCTCTTTTGCGACACCTCGGCCAATGCTAAGTAGGCGACCTTCGGTGCGTTTTTGGCAGGCGATGCTGCGGAGTGGCCAAGGCAAGCAGAACAAGGGGCCGAAGAAATGGCCACAAGGAGCCCTCAGCTGGAAGCAGATCCACCCTGGAAGTCCAGTTCGACCATATTTTGCGAGGGGATATGGCTCCTTATGGAATCTCGTGAACCCCGGCCACTGAACCACCGGTGAAAGGCGGTGGTCCACCAGGGTGGTGTCTTCGTTGAAACGACTGCGGATGGTGTCGAGTTAAGATCAAGATCGATGTATTTCTGCATGTATGTTGCCGCATACGGCTTCAATCATAGCCTGTCATAGGTCCAAACACCAAAGGAGAAAGAAACAACAAATCAACAAACCATCCATACGACTGGAATATGTTGCATACACACACATGCATGTACCACATATATATACCCTGGGAGTCAAAGACTATAAAAAGAATGGTCTTGAGGGGACCTGAAAGGGAACTTCCTTTACTTCAGCCGGTCAAAATATAGTCAAACTGGACTTCAGCCGGGTATATAATCACTTGAATTCGGTACATATATATACGAGTACCTGGACCCTCCAACAGGTGTTTCCTGGTGACAACAAGTGCCCAGAAGCCGCCTGTTAGGCTTCTAAAACCACCTATTGGAAGATCCTGGTATAGACCTCCTTTATGTCCCCAACTCTTTCACTTTCCTTCAGACCGATCCGTCCAACCCAACCCCCGGCCTCCGTCAGCTCTGCTTGGGCCCTCCGCAGCTCGTCGGTGCTGGACGCCAGCTTCGTCCGGAGGCTCTCCTGAGACGGCTCTCGTCGGTCGGTTCCTGTTCGTCAGGGGACCTACACTGGCTACACTGACCGAGCGAGCTCGGGGTGCCTGGCTGTCGGAAGGAAGGAAGGAAGGAGAGGGGGGGCCCCTATATCACCTCACCTCGCTCCGACGGCGAAGTCGGACGACGCAAAGCAAACCACCCAGGCCCTGCGGCCCATGTGACTCGTAGCTACGAAGATCGATCCCAGGAGTGTTCGCCATCCCTCTGTTTCGGAGAGGAAGAAAGGCGACTCAGGCGACCATTCACTGGTGGCCGGCATGGACATGCTTGGGAAAGGAGCCAGAACCGCTGCCGAATTGGTTTCGGAGTTTGGGTTGAGGCTTCAAAGGGGGATTCCAAGCGAAAAGCAAGGGACTACGCTTGCAAAAGCAGCTGTAGCTGCCACTGACGCAGTTCTTGCGAACCGCCGTCTAGACCTGCATTCTATATTCTGGATTCTACTATATATTTACTAGTGGGCTCTGCTGCAACTTGCGCGGAGCCAAACTAGTTCATGGGATGTGCATGTTTACATGCCCTATAGGAATGTAACTGCCTATAGATCGATGTCGCATCCACGGCTCGAGCTCTTCATCCACCGCTGCGCTCGTCACGCTTGGCTGCGCAGGCGGAGAGTCTGGCACCTGGTGGCGCAGGGACGGCGTTTTGCTGTGGATCGTCATTGGAATTTGAACCGTTCGAATGAAAAGATAGCACCAAGGTGACTATAAAGGAAGGTTTTTGTGGCCTCTTTAATGAAAAAGGCCCGTATACCTGCTTACTTGGTCGTCTGTTATTTCTCTGACTTATAAGCTCCTGCATGAAGAAGGGCTTTTGGTTGAATTCATGCATCGGTTCGATGGTTGCTTTGCCACTGTTCGTGAACCGTGACTTGCTTGGCCTGCACCGCAGCCACCGCAGCCACCAGTGACTTCCCAGCCTTCACGTTCACCGCCTCTGTCGGAAGGTGGGTCTTGGCGGGAAGGTGAGCTTCGCGTTCCTGTTGCGAGCGATCTGGGAACAAGACTCGTGCGATCTGGACATACAAAAGAAGCACGTGAGCAATTCAATCACTGAGACCTGCACATGCATATATTTCTTACATAGCACGTGCCACATGGGTGTGGGTTCGAGGCCCAAAAGCAAGACTCAAAAAAGGCCAACTCAAAATGGATCTGCATGGGGCAATGATGGGCATTTGAGTGAAACAAACAAGTGAAACAAACGAACAACAAATCCATTTCAGCCCCCTTAATCGGGCCCCCAAGCACCCGCCCATGAACAACTCACTCGCTCATCGGTCCGTGTCGGCAGCTTCAGGCGCAGATCTCAGTGGCCAAAGGTCGGATAGGCTGAAGATCCCCCCGGCCTACGCCTACGCCTGCCTACTTAGGCTGAATCGTACTCCAGCACCTCTGCCAGCCTGTAAGCACTTCCAACAGCGCGAGTCTATCATCCCACGAGGATTCAAGTACAGTACATATAGGGGAACATTTCGCTTCAATCTTTCCCAAACGAGTACGAGTCGCTTTCCAAAGAACCCCGGGCGAATCGATCTTTCAGCGCTCGAATCTTTGCCCAAGCGAAGGCCACTCAGCGAAGGTCGCTTCCGCTACTGATGGGTCGCGGGGCCCATGTTGAGCCACACGACGCGGGTGAGACTGGCCTGTTTCGGACCAGAAACGAGTCTAACAGATTCTGCATTCCTTGGAGCACGAGGAGTAGAACTGGAGGTGTCAAGAATCAATCCAAATCACTCATCATTATAGTCCTTGCATTTCTCAAGGATGAGGGACAGCATGAAACAGCAAAAAAACCTGGTCTTCCCTCCTTGGTGTTCTCACACGCTCACGTGCACTGCGTGGCTAACTCTCCCACATCCACCAGCTTGCCTCGCGGCATCGCGAGGAAACCGCTCAAGGCTTGAACAGCACGAAGTTGCGGGAACCAAAGGCGGTCGGGTTCGAGTCAACGGGTAAACTACGTGACACATGGAACCAATGCTTGGATATATTTGGGCAACCGTTCGCCTTGCCCAACGAACTCCCTCCGCGCTGTTCCAGTACCCAAGACCGCCCCCTCCGCGCGGGTGTTCTCACCCACCACGATCGACGGTCGCGGAGAACATCTCCGTCCAGCCACAGGGGGACATCAAACCCCGCCTGCGGGCGACCAACCCAGGTGAGTTCACCTCCACCCTCACCCGCCTGGAGGTCCAGTCTCAAAGGGGCCAAAGGTTTCGGTAGTCCTCACTCACGCGGTGGTCGGCTCTCAGGATCGGTCGCTCAGCCCATTAGGTCATGAGAATAGGTTCTTTCTTTGTTTGGATCAGAGACACGGTGGTCCAGGACCTGACCTAAGATGACCTAACTTGAGATCCCAGTGGCTGAGGTCACTGAGTCACCTGAATGAGGCCACTTACAGACTCCAAAGAGGTCACGTACGGCTCAGGTCCTGGGTGTTACTCTTCGACAGAAACCCAAACAATCCGGCTTGAAACATCAGGTGAATGAATCGACTTAAAATTGAACAAGTACTTTCCGGCAGTCCGGACCACATGGAACCCCAAACCCACTGGGCCAGCTATTGGGAAAATGGTCTTCCGCCACCGGTCTTTCTTTTCAGGAATTCCATATGATTCCATGTTACTTTGCGGTGACATATAATTCCCTCCAACCTCATAGCGATGGCCTCCACCTAGTATATATACTCTATAGTTACTAGAAAAGCTTCAAAGACATACTACTCCCTAGGGCTCCAGTCGTACCTTCGTTTCGAAGGTGGGACGACGGGGGCCCGGGTGCCAAACGTCGTGTCCAGTCATACCGAACCGGTTTGGAGGTCACCTCCTGGAGGTCTATAGGGAGTAGTAGCTGATAGCTTCTGCATGTCCCCGCGACCTCCACCGAGCCAAGCGTCACGCGGCGCGCTCGACGGTAGCAGGGCGCGGGGATCCCATCCGGAGAGAACCATCCCTCCGCAGCGGGCGAAGCAGGCTCCTGTAAGGACGGTGAGTCAGGCGTAAAGCCACTTTCCGATGTGATCAGAGTGAACCCATTGATGTGAAGTTCATTGAAGTTCTACATACCTCCAGAGGAGACCTGTTGGAGGGTGCTGGTATAGAACTGAACTCTATTATATTGCTGGTTCGGACTCATTTTCACTTTGCAGCGTGTCTTGCTTCGTTTCATGCCGTTGTTCTACTGCTGGACTTCTGTCCACATGCTGGACCATCACTGCTGACTCTACAGGGCTCTCCTCCCCGGGCAGGCAGAAGAGCACCTTGTCGAAAATGGAATGGCTCCAGCGCCGGCGCTTCTCATCCCATTCGATGGTGGCCGGCGGCTGCCCGGTGACATGAATCGGTTGAGTCCACTTGTGGTCACACGCTTTGTCTTTCACATAGATTCCGGGCACATACTTCAAGCGATGGGTGGAGGGATTGTGAGCTGGCAGCTTCCCGCCCGCGTAAAAGACTTCGATCTTCTGATCTGTGGTGGCTGGCTGGTGATACCTGGTGGCTGGAACGCGGTGAAAAAGAGACGAGACGGACTCCTAAGCGGCGTTTCCCTGGAAAAATCCACTTATAAGGCAACCCTTTTCTGTTTTTGTTTAGTGGGGTGTCTGCCCATTTTGCTCCCAAAAAGGCGTTGCAGGTTCTCTAGTTTGGATATGTGGAGAGACTCTCCGTCGTCGGTGTCTCGGTGTCCGGGTGCGTCTCTCTCGACACGACACGGTGTCACAGCACTCGTTGCTGGCATACCTAGAAGCTGGTTAGGCAAGAATTTCGATTGGATTCATGGAGGTTCTGAGAGGTTCTGATTGGAGTCTGATATGGTTCATGGAGTTCTGATATGGTTCTGGGAGGTTCTGACATACCTATTGGTTCATGGAGGTTCTATAATAGGTATTTTATTGGAGTCTGCGGATGCTGGAGTTTCTGATTTGAAAGACAGGCGTCAAAAGAGTGAGCCACCGGGTGTGTTTTATCCGAAGGTGTTGGTTCACCAGATGTTTAGTTGCGGATGCTTCGGTTCACAGACCGTATGTTGAACTACCAACTCACAAAGAAGCAAACCACGAGGCAGGTCTTCCTGACCGGAGCCCGCAACCAGTGAGTTCAAACAGACATCAAACCCTGCTAGCTGCCAGTCCAAAGCCAGATCTGAACGTAACATGGGATGATCATGGATTTCTCAAGCTGATCGACCCTAAACCCATCCATTTTTTTTCCATTTGCTTGTGGCTTTCCGAGTCGGGGGGGCCCCGGCGCAAGCCTTGTGAATTCACTGGGCTTTGAAAAAGGTTAAAAAGGGTCACTTTCGCCTTGGCGAATGGGAGCGTAGTCCGGTTGCATCTCCTGAACGGTGTCCTCTTGTTGACGGAGAGCAGTGACATAGGCTAGCAAGTCAGGGTCAGTCATCTGGCAGGGTTGAGACTTGCGTTTGCTGAGCCACTGATCCATGAAAATCTTGGCCAAAACCTGATTCAGGTAGGGGGAGTACTCTTTGGCCGAACTGGTGTGAAAAGCTCCCTGGTCGTCCTTACCAACCAAGCTCTTCAGCGTGGTCGGATCGACTTTCTTGGCATATGCTCTGAAGGTCTCTCGAGCTCGTGGAAGGTGAGCCACTAAGAAGGTCGTCGGTTTCCATGCCACACCTTCAAACTGGCCTTGATAGACGTTTTCCAGTGTGACAGCAGGGTGGAGTCGAAGCCATCTCATCACTGGAGTCTTCCAGATGCTCGGGAGATCGTGCCGCTTTGGGGCACGAGGATGCTCACAAATCACAGAAACACCAGCAAGAACCGCATGTAGAGCAAGGTGAATTGCTGTGAAAAGTAACTCATTGGCCACCAAAATTTGTTCTAACTCGGCCAAGGTCAAATTCGGTCTGACCCACGGCTGTTCGGGCAATCTGAGAACTCTAGGGTTACCCTCGAGGGCTCTGGCACTCGACCAGGACTCACAGGGAGGAGCCATCAAAATACCCAAAACTTTACCAGAACCAATCCAAGACTCAAATTTGCGTACATGAGCTTCTTGGCGCATGTCGTGATCCGCAGAAAGAGCCACGTCAATGAGCAGCGGATGACAAGTCACTCCATGTAAAAGGCCCCAGGCAATGAAGTGCTCGGCAAAGTCCCCTGGTCTGCGTCTGCCAGAGTATAGGTACAGCACCACTGGCTGTTCCTGCAATGGAGCGCAGGGAGCAGGAAGCCAAGCAACCGAAGTCAAGGCATCACGAAGGGTGCTCTGACCAACTTGAGTGGGTACATCGAAGTGTTGCGAAATGAGCCAGGCTTTGTAGCTGCGACGATCAGCATGAAAAATTCCTTGAGGAACATTGCAGGCTGGCACCCGGAAGCGCGACAACATATGTTGTTGAATATCAATCGCTGGATGGTCATAATATTGTCGCCAAAGTTCCAGGGCTGCGGCAACTCGTGGTAGCACAACATCGCAAGCCACGACAGAATCATCCCAGTCGATGCGATCGAAAGCATCCCAGAGTGCAAAAAACACTGGTTGAGCAAAAGTCACTGGCTGCAGGTACTCATACAGTGTAGCCTCCTCTGAATCGGCAGTACACAAACGAACAAAACCTGACACAAAGGTGCACAAAGCGGGTTCCCTGTCAGTGGCACAAAGGGTCAGGTCTGCATCGAGAAGTGCACCAGACTCATTAGCTTGCTGAAATCGCAGGTCTGCCAACAACCAAGGGTGTTGGGGCACAGGTCCAGCAAGACGTCGCACCGGCTTGCGAAATGAACGAGTACGCATACGTGAATATTGTTCACGAAGTTGGACACGATCAGCTGCAGCCAAAGACTCCTCAGACTCCGGGTCCAAGGGTGGGACCGTGCAGATGAGCGCGTGCAAACAACCGGTTCGAGTATACTTCAAATGGTGCAGAAGCTGAACTCGCGAATGGTACTGTCTTAGGCACCAACGGCAGGTGGAATCGACAGCATATAGACTGGCCACATTGCGTGAACGATGCTGCTTAAAATCATGTGCAAAAAGTCGCTGCAGGCTAGCAAAAGACTGCTGGCATATGGGGCAATGGAAAATCGGCAAATCTGTCGAAACAGGTGTGGCTGCCGTAAACAAAGCTCCCTTGTTCTGAGCGGTTTGCACAAAACGAGATCGAAAGGCGACCAGGGCATTCCAGATGCGAGCTTGTTGAAAGAAACAGGCATTGGCCAGTTTACATTTTGCCAGCAATGTGCGAGGAGTGGCCGTAAGATCGGCGGCCAGACTTGACCAAGGCTTAGTGTCAACCTCTGGGATAAGACTGTCTGTCGGCAGCAACTGGTTCAGGGCGTT